AACAGTTAGTTTTGTCTTATTTCAAGTTTACTAACACTAGAACATAGACTAAAATACTTGGTAAGATTTTGTTTTTATAGTGTGAATGCTTTTTCAAAGAACAGTTCTCCTAAATAAGTCAGACAAGTAAGTAAATGAAAGCAAAGTTATTCTGAATTTGGCCAAATTAAATTTTTCACTTGAAATGTCAGAAATGCATCATAATCATGTCATCACTGTTTTTACTTCTAAAACAATTGTTCAGTTAAGAAGAACTGATGAATGTTGGGACTTTAAATTCAGTCTGGATTTTAGTTTTAACCTGTGAGGACTAAACTTTGAGTTCTAGTTCAAGTTTGGCCGTATCAAAATTGGCTGTATCTTTCAGTACAGTAGTACTATGTTTCCCGTTATGCAGCTCTTTGCTTTTATGATGTTTTTTTTTTTGCAATAAAATGTACTTGTATTTATTTTATTTGACCATTTAAACAGGTTGCCTCATTGAGATCCAAGATCTCATTTACAAGGGAGACAATTTCAAACACAGCAACAAAACTAATATAGTTTGTCTCAGTTAAATAAGCTAATAAGATACGAGCTAATTCAACTGCAACGTGAGTGTCTGATGAAACTTTAGAAGTAGTCGTGTTTTATTATTATTCAGCATTGTCCGTCCATGCTGACACATTAGTTTTGAGCATGTGCCTTATGTCATTGGAAACATATCAGTGTCTCATACTGCGTTAAGGAAAAGTCCCAGCTGCACTCTGAAATGTGGATTTGGAGCAGAATTCCTCGCCATGACTAGAAAAAATCAATAAAGTGTGGTCGTGGAATGAAGTGCTTCCAGGAGAAGTTGGGAAAGAGATGAGCTGGCGTGTGTTTACTTGCGTGCGTGCGTGTGTTTGTGTGTGTGTGTGTGTGTTTGTGTCGGATGATGTGGTGGTGGAGAGGGAGGCACAAATGGATCATATTTCCCAGGGTGTCATTCACCAGCCATGTTCCATTAATCTCCCGTACACTCATATTGCCTATGAAGGCACTATCATTCATTCACACACACACACACACACACACACACACTCCATCTGAGATTGTGTCTGACATGTCGACGTGATTCCATACAGCATGGCGTTTTGTAATACAGCAGGAGTTGTTTGTGTTTTTTTGTTTGTTTGTTTTTCTCTTATAATCTTTGGTTTTGTAAAACACAAAATAGTTTGAATGGTTTCACACAGCAAACATGTCAGTGTCAACACACAACACAACCGAAGCAAACAGGGAAAATGTTTCAGGATGTATGCACTGCAGATAAAACACACAACAGGACATGGAGTGAATGTTCCTATAGAGAAACAATGTGACCCAAAACATCAAGTCAACTTCGAGTGTTTGTTACAGAAGCTCCAACAGACTGAGTGGTAACACTGAATCTAAAGCTCAACATAAACTGTGCAACGTCAGAAAACATATGGGACTTGATCATGTCACACTGTGCTAGCTGGATCATTCTGAATCTGGTTATGCAAACGAGAAAAACAATTAGGACTTTTTATTAACTTGGCAAAATAAAGTGAGACAGTCATGATCTGTTCTTCTTGCTGAAAAGACATTAAAAAAAATCAAGAGAAAAATCATCAACTGTTTTTTTCTGGGGGGGTTAACTGGTAAATGTCTTAGACTCTTAAAAGGGTAGTATTATGTATTTTCTAGGCACATAGTATCATAGTATAGAACAATCAATTAAATATGTTACCTTCAGTTGTTATAAAATGCTATATATAACCAGCATACAAAGTCAAAGAAATTTGACCGTAATTTATTGCTTTGAAATTGGGCCTCTGTCTCTTTAAGAAGCTCCTGCTCTTTCTGAAACTCCGCCTTCAGGAAGTCATCACAACATGGCTCCTCTATGAACTCTTTAACAAAGTTTCTATCAGCGTTTCACTGAGAAGTGGTTCCTATAATGAGCTCAGTAGATGCTCAGTTCCACCAGTTGTTTGCTAATTGCTGTTGGCTAGTCTGAAGGAGCTGAGTGGCGGGAGGTGGGGGGATTAGGCGGTTGATCTGAAGGAGCTTCATTCTGAAAGGCGGAGCTAGGTCCACCCAGGCATTTAGCACAAATGAGTGGTTGCCATGGAGATTAAAGGATTTCTCAAACAGATCACACTCCAGGTCTGTCTTAATGAGGCAATAACATAACATGCTGAAAAAACCTATTGAAATCGAAAGCTCTACAGAGATTATTGTAGAGATTATTTCTCTACAGAAATCATGCTGTTTTATTAAAATAATGTGCGTTTAGTTTGCCGTTGATCAGGTGAGCCTGAAAAATCTAAATACTTTTCGCTCCCCCACCAAATTTTTGGACATCACTGATCTAAGGGCTTTACAATTCAGTACTCGTGCCAAACAGGAAATTACTTCAAATAAAAACGGACAAAGCAAAACATTATGTAGATAAAATTAAGCAGTGACAGTGTGTATATCACTAGCACCACCACTTCCATTCAGGAAGTGATAGTAATCTCTTTGGGCTAAGTAGGGCTGTATACCTACCTTTATCTTTATCAGGGATTTTTAAAAGCGTTTCCTGATTCAAACTCATTTCCTCCCATTTGGCCATCAAGGACTGCCTTCTCTGACCTCCATTTAAAGCATTAAGTGGGTTGTTCATTTCGTCTTTCATCATGAACATTCAAACTGAATCACTCTTATGAAAGACACAAATATCCATAATAGACAGCAGTCGTTAGCTGCTAGCTGATTTGACCCTCGCTTAACAACCTGTCTGCTTTCTCTATGGAGTTTTCTGCTTTATTCACACAGTTCCTTTTATCTGTGCTGCACCGATAGGAATGATTGGCGGTCTCTGAATGATGCTTCTAGAGGCTGCTGTGACTCATCAAAAAAATAATCACCCCAATCGAAAAGCCATTATTATCAGATTCTGTTTTGTTTTTTTTGTTTTTGCTACTGAAGGAGATTCTGCTTAGAAAAAGGGCCACTCTGAAGGGATTTGAAGCTCCTGCTTATCTGTTTCTGAAAGTCAGGTTGCTGTAGATACCCTCAGGTGTTAGCAGAGTAGTTTGTTAAGAAGGACAAAGCACAGTAAAGTCAGAGAACACGAAAATAAAAGCTTTTACCTGTATTTACCTCCCACTTCAGATTGAATTCCTCAGACTGTTAGCCGATAAGGATCTCATGGGCTGTGCGTTCTCTCCCCGCCATATCTCTGGCAGATATGTATCGCCTGGAGCTGGCGGGCGGCCTTGGGGTCATCCTGCTGTTGTTGGGGATCCTAACCGCGCTTTATAAGTGCTACAACCTGGAGATCATGCTCTGCTACAGGAGACACTTTGGGAGCGACGAGACTGAAGATGGTGAGCTGCTCGGCATTCCTCTGGGGGATTCTTCATGGTGTTTGATGGGAAACACTTAACCTCTCTGAGAGAAATGCTAAAGTAGTAGCCAGAAGCTGTATAACTGACAGTTTTGTCATTAGGATAAGATAGTTTGTCTGTCATATCAAAATTGGTTTATTTCAAAAACTACAAAGGAAACATTTTGTTTGCATCACAAGAGTTAAATGATCAACAACCGGATGTTACTACTGCCAAAAACCATGAAGAAGACAACAGGAAGTGGTTGGACATTGAATTTTGATGACTTATTGAGTGAGCAAATGTATACATGTGTGATTTTAATTGTGATTCTTAGTTAATGGAAACACTACAATTGTGAGATTGTGTTTATTTTTTTATATTAGTGGAAATTTGGCGCCATTTCCATTACAAAGGTGCACAAATCTTTGTTGACATTCTGCTAATGTGGAAAAACACAATTTTCCGATTGCTGTTTCTGTTAAATAAGAGGCGTAATTAAAATCCCACATTAATAAGTTTGTTCATGTGATAATTAATTAAAAATCATGCGTACATCAACCTCCTAGTACTTCCTTTTGTCTTCTTCTTCGTGGTTTGGGCTAGTAGTAACATTCAGTTGTTGATCATGTGACTCATGTGATGTCAAAAGACTGTTTTCATTGCAGTTTTGCAAAATAAATCAATTGCTATATGGCCAAAAAACCACCTCATTGTAATAGAACAACTTTTTATCCAAAGACTTTTATTTTTTGCTGTTTCTAAATTGTCATGTTTCCATTAGGCAAATTCATTTTCATCATTTCAATTTGCACAGTTTTGCGGTCAGTGTAAACGCCGCTTATGACAAAATTTTGCGTACATTTGTAACAGAAGCACAGCTAGAGAAACGCTGGGTTTGAGTCCATGCAGTTTGTCTTCATCATCTTTTCTCTCCCCAGACAACAAGGAGTACGACGCCTACCTGTCCTACACAAAGGTGGACCTGGACTCTTTGGGCAGGTCAGACGAATACATTTGAATTAAACAGTGTAATACCTTTACAATGTCTAATGTTACACAAATAAATTAAGTGGATTTAGCTTTCCTTTTATTCACCTACTTATAAGCATTTTGAGGTACAAATGAACCTAGTTAATTTGAAATAATGTGAAGAATGAGTCTATTTTCAGAGTAGTAAAGCTCTTATTAGCTGCTTTTTTTCCCCAAGGGCATTTGCATACATGAAACTGCAGCATGAGTGAGTGGTATGTTCATTTTTTGACAAACCTCACTCTGTTAGCTTTGCTGAGAAACAGTTAGAAAACTACCACTGCTCTCCACATCTTCTGTTCAAGTTTGAGTAAGAAATGAAACAAAAAGCAGAAGCCAGGAACTGTTCCAATCAAGAAGCTTTCTTTTTATAAAAGTAGTTTCAAGTTATGAAAATGTTTCTTCAGAAAGATTTGGGGTTTATTACATGTACAAAAAATAAGCTCTGGACTGTTTCAGTAATTACATATTATTCAGATTTATTAAGTTAACTTGTACCAAAATTGTACAAGTGGCAACTGTAAAAAAAAAAAAAAAAAAGTGAGGCAATGAGTTTGCACATATTTTTTTAAGTAAGGAGAACTAATGTGCTTTGTGATGGCGAAGAATAAGAGTTAAAACTTTCGCAAAGATTTGCAAAAAAATAAAATAAAATAAAGTTTTTTAAAGCGCATCAGCTCTGGAGCTTACAGTCAGAAGTTTACCATTTCATTTTGGGTGTTTGATATTTTATTTGAACTCTTTTTGAGGGGTAAAATGATCACACACCAAGCAACTGGGATGATTATTTAAAAGAATTTGATGCACAAGTTTGAACTTTTTATGGATTTTCACTCATCCATAACGGGTCAAAATTATAGCCATGGCCTCAAACATCCACACACATCCTCAGCGCTTGAATATTTGACCACCTCTGAATTTTGTTAAGCTTATTTGAGTCGATTTTCAGACTCCAACCTTTCAGCATGCGCTGCAGATTTTCAACAGACTTGACGTGAGGGATTTGTGAAGGCCAGTCCAGCCTGCCTTAAACATTAAAGATGATGTTTTGGTCTCAGTTCTTCTGCTGAAATAACCAGTCGTATCCAGGTTTCATCCATTTAGCTTCTCTAAAACAATCTGAACAGAATGGGCCTCAGCACCTCTGGCAGTAAAACAGCCCCACAGCATGATGCTGCCACCACCAGACTTACTCTCAGTACTCTTTGTAAACTTCATCTTGAATTCTTCACATATAACATAAACTAATATTTTGCAAGTCCAAGAGTTTCACCTTATATTACATAAGAGATTCATGTTTCTATTACCAAGACCAATTTACCCAAACTACCATAGCCATCTGATGGAAATAAATATAATATTTTAATAAGTTAAACATTTAAATTAAACTCAGGCAGACTGAAGGTTCAATTACAATTTTTAGGGTCAAGATTCCGTTCAGAAAAGATTTTTAATTCAGAAACCAATTTTACTATTCAAACGGTCCAGAGATTCTGTTTGCCTAAATGACGTGACTGACAAGAGAAAAATACACTGTATAGAAAAATGATTTACAACAAGTATATAAGATTCTATACTGTGTCAAATTCCATCATTTTATTTTTAAACAAAAATAGTTTTGTCCATAAAATTCTCTTAGGTTAGCTTAGTTTAACTGCTTGGCTTCTTAGATTAAAAACAAAATCAAATACAATTTTCCCCCAAAAAATAGAAATTTTGAGCATTTTGAACTGATTCCCAAGACTAGAATTTCCGACTCTCTATTGACTTTTTTTTTTCTGCACCTCTATTAGACACTGTCTGTCACATTTTCCCTGCAGAACCCCACACCCAAACGTAAAGTAGCCTTTTAAATAAGTGGAGCCATGAGCAGTGGCCCCAATGTTTTGTATTTCAGTCTGGAATAATGTTTTCTCCATTTTTCTCTACTGACAGGACGAGCAGCGACGAGGAAACCTTTGCTCTGGAGATTCTGCCGGACGTTCTTGAAAAGCATTACGGATACAAACTATTTATACCAGACAGAGATTTAATACCCAGCAGTAGTAAGTATCATTCCATTTATCAACCTCCTCTTTCTCACACCCACACACACACACACTCACACTCTCTCTCTCTATAGGTCACTGTAATCCCCAATCCCCAGAATTCATCAGTCTGTCAGAATAAATAAAAATGTGTGCAGAGCTTCATCACAGCGCACTTACTGCTGAACTAATCTATCTCTGTCGGCTCTCAGGCGTACATCACGTACACACTAAGAAACATATATACAGTAGTTTTCCTACTTAAATGAAGCTTTATCTCACTTTGAATCAGAAGCTAATGTTCACAACATTTGTCTGTCTTAGGCCTCGTCAAATTATCAGTACGGGCCTCAGAGTCCAAACAAGACTGCATATCACGCATATACATTCACAAAGGGTGCAAAAATTTACAAACACTTGTTATATGTATATAATGTAATTGTGAATAATTTGATCTTGTTAGCTCTGTAAAGTCCAGTGTAAATGAAATGAAACCCAAAATGTCTGACTGGCTTCATTAAGAGTCAGTTTGTTTTTAAAACATGCTGCCATCGTGGGTTTATTATTGGCATCTCAGTTGAACTGAGATTGTACTGCAATTGTTTCATTGTCTGATTATCTTCATAGATCTGTTATTGCCAGTGTTGGTGTGATGGCAGCCTGGCCATTTTCTATGCTAATCCACTAGATTCTCATTTCCCTTCCCTGCTCCATCTGAGAATTTCTGCCATTGAAGTGGATTGTCTTTGGTGGAATTTCTATCGGGCCAATCAGTGAAACGGAAGAGGAGTTGCAAATGATTACATTGATTTTTTGTTTGTTTTAGAATGGTAATCTGCCTATAGTTGTAGCAGAGGAAGTGAAAGAAGCCATTCATATCGCGTTGGCCACGCCTCCAAATATTAAATTTAACATTAACAGCCTTCTTGTTTGGTTCCGTCCTTCTCTCTTCGCAGTGGAGGATGGTTGTTTATAGCGCACGCAACTTCTGGTAAGCTTAATAGCATCGAACTGGCAAATTACACACGACCAAATGTTAGCAACTGGGTAAAATTTAAAACCTTAGAGTCCATGCGTAAAACAGACAAAAATGCCAGAAAGCATAAATAAGAACTTAATGAGCTTCATGTGATTTAATATAATAAATTTATGCATTCTTTTCAACAGCTTCAATAATATCAGTGTGTGGAAAATTTCCAGCATTGTTCTTTGAAAGTAGATAAGTGAGGGAAGAGGAGTAAAGATGAGAAGATTTTAACATTTTCACACTGTACTGATGAATATAAACAGGCATTTTTATCCAAGGTCTGATGTCAGCATGATTCCTCTATATTATTGGAGATCAGCTCAGTTTGTTTCCATAAAATAAACCTCAGCTATGCTGCAGGAATCATAATCTGACTGGGACTACAAGACACAGCACTCTGACTTAGAGTTGGTCATAAAGCAGAGAGGAATGACAGGGTGTTTCGGACCCAAATGGAGAAAGGAATTTTATTTTTATTCTATGAAATAATGATAAAAGAATAACCCACTTTAAAAGTTCTGTACTTATACATTAAGTCCAGTATCAAAGGAGAGTCATTATAGCTGCCAATCGTTTCTATTATTATTATTTCTTTTGATGGAAGTCACTCTCAGCTCTAATGGGTCTAAACCTCCAAACCAATTTTCAAAAAAAGTTTACTTTTTAAAACAAATATCTACTGAGGCTTTTTAGTTGTAAAAAAAAAAATGCTTTAAAGACAATGTTCATTTCCACACATTTAAACCCAAACAACAGGTGTGAATTAATCTTGAGTTGTGTTTATCTTGAACCTTAGTCCAGCAAAAATAAAAAATAAGAGGAAATCTGTCTTGAGGCAGCAATGTGTTACTTATAAACTTTAGAATTTCAAGTAAGACGTTTAAGTGTAGTAATCCTTGAAATGATTCTAGGAAGAGTAGTGGCGATCCTGAGTGACCAAAACAGGAAACAAAAGGTCTTTATATTTTTATTCAGTGCATGTATACGTGGTTTAAACTTGACAAAATAAAATAGTCAATGTGTCATTACTTTTAGTCAAATTATCAGGTTATGTTCTAAAATTTCCTAGAAAAATTAATTCATAGCAAAGTAAAAACCCTTTGCCCAGGTTTTACTATTGGTTTACAAATAAACATATCTTGCCACTGAAATATGGCTCTTGACAAATAACGTTGCCCCACATAGTTTGCAGTTTGCTAAATCTAGGTTTCTAAGAAAAACAAATCATGAAAAAAAGTCTGAGAGGTTTCACTGCTGCCCTAAAAACATCCCTGAAACAAATGTTTGCTGTTCATAAATACACACACACATCGAGAGGAACAGAGAGCATGAGTGTGACACCGACCAAGAAAGAGCGATGTGCCTTTTTTTCTTTTCTTTTTTTTCCAGTGTTTCTTCCAAAGTCGGTGGCGGAGCAGACCTTAAACACACCATTCAATTATCCAGCCCACTTAGTGCCTCGGAACGAACACGAGAGCGCAAAAATAAATAACGAGAGCGCAAAAATAAATAAGGAGAGCGAAAAGAGGTGGCGGCACGGTCACTGGTCTGTGCTGTTTTATTAATTGATTAACATAATCCTCACAAACGGAGATGGGGAGAGAGAGAGAGAGAGAGAGAGAGAGAGATTAAACGAGCGATGGAAGAGGCGCATCAGAGGCAGGCAAGAAATGGGCTGAATTCGGGGATGTTCTGTACTATTTGTGCCTCTCAAATTGAGCGTGAAATTGCAATGTGTTGTTGGAGAGTCTCTGTCATTAATTCAGTTAGCAGGTGAAGACATGACGGAGGAGAAGGGAGCGATACAGAAAGAGGGGGGAGATCTGTTGTTCACGGACGCACAAAGACAAACAATAAGCAATCTTAACATGTCATGTTGCAAAAACTGACACAGAACGCTGCAAACAACTAACTGGAAATGAGGTGTAAACAGGAATAACTGTATTTCTATAATACCACATGCAGCTGCCTTCAGCCCCTGACCGATATGTTTTCCATCAGCAAAATGCTAAGAAACCACTTCCTGTTTGGTGTCAGTCCAAAACATCTATCACAAGGGGTTTTGTCACGCAAGTCACCATGTCAGTTATTTAGTCATTCACTACCTACGGTGGATGTCCTTTGGAAATCAGGCCGTGACAAGAAAATATAATGCTTTAGGAGAGGATTCACAAGGGGTGCTCTGATCTTTAAATAAAATTCAACACCTCCAGGAAGCAATCATTTCTGAATATCCAAGGGCCCAGACCCTCTGGACAAGGGGCTGGTCTTTACCAGGGTTTACTGTCACCAACATGTCATAGGGCCATATTCTGGAAGTCCGTGTATTGGATCTTCCAGAATAATCAAATGACTCAATGATAGAGCATGATAACTTCATTGGCTAAATGGGTCATGTTAAGGCAAGTCACTTACAGCTGCATATTTCACACCTACACTAAGAGCCTAACATCAAGCACATCCTCTAAGCCAGTTCGTCCTACATTGAACCTCATGCAATGTGAAGTTTATTCATCGATGTCGCAGTGCATCAAATGTGACCAAAAGTTTGATTCATTGAATTGTCTGCTAAATAGTTGCTAAACCTTATTCTACCATGATTTGACACTTGGAAGCATCTGATTCTGCATCCATAATCAAGAGGTCCGTTAGATTCAAATCATCTAGTATGCCCCCTAGTGGTTGAGAGCAAAGAAGTCAATCATGAAGAGCAGCGGTTGTGTTAGAATGTCTCGCAGATGCACAGGACTCAGTGGATCTTGACTTAGGTTCACTAGGTCTTTGTACATCACTCAATCAATCAAGTTTTTTTGTATAACACATTTCAGCATCAAGGCAGTTCGAAGTGTTTTACATCATACAAACACAAAAATACATGTTATATTGTTGGAACCAGCGGCTACATGAGGGAGGGCTCCGAAGTCACAAAGGTTGCGGTTGACCAAAACACTCCACACTTTTCTTGTTAATCTATGTGAATTAATGGATCATCATTATAGCCAAGATTATTCCTTATGGATCTTTACTGTTGCTCTGCATAAACACTCCTTTCTCTCTCTCTCTCCCCATCAGCCTACATTGAGGACTTGGCACGCAGCGTGGAGCAAAGCAGACGTTTGATCATTGTTTTGACTCCAGAATTTGTTGCCAAAAGAGGTTGGAGCATTTTCCAGATAGAGACGCGTCTCCACTCCATGCTGGTTACAGGAGAGATCAAGGTGGGGTTCAACCTGACGCGTTTTTTCTTGTTTGATTCAAGTGTTAAGAAGGTCCTACATGTTTCTTCCCTCATCTCCGTTTGCCTAGGTGATCATGATAGAGTGCGCAAACTTGAAGAATGTCATGAACTACCAAGAGGTGGACGCGCTGAAGCATACGATCAAGGTATGGAGATCATGGCATTCAATGGAGAACAGGAGCTGCGGAAGTGACATCATCGCTAACGTTTGCTGTTCTCGGAAGGTCTTATCTGTTATCAAGTGGAGGGGTCCAAAGAGCAACGAGCTGTCCTCCAAGTTTTGGAAGCAGGTGGTCTATGAGATGCCAGCTAAACGCAGAGAGACTCTGTCCAGACGTCAGGTACCATAAAATAAAAACTAAACCATGTTTCTGACATTTTTGTTGTAAAACATGCAGTGGGAGCTTAAGAAATGTACAATTATGCACTGTTAGGATCTTAGTTGGGAACACTGACATATTCAAGTCTGTAGTTATTCATGGTGGGCATTTATCATATCGTTTATCGTGATTCATTTCTTATAAGAATTTGATTGATAGTCGTCATAAAAAATTTTATTTAATACAATTTAAAAACACTAAATAGTTAATTAATCAATCTGTTGGGATTGATTACTTAACTATTTTCTCCACTGTTTATTCAATAAAAGCATCAATAAATCTGAAAACACAGCTACTGTGTGCAGCTTAGTTGATATAAATCACACTTCTTTACATGCCTGGTGTCCTAAGATATTTCACTACCGATTGGAATGTTATTCATGAGCATTATTTGTATTTGTGAGACTATAGTTGCTGTGAGACACAGTCACAGCAAAACACCTAAAAGATGGAATAAATAGTTCTTATTGTCACTTATCGTTATCACAATGGCATCACAAAATATCATGATGAAACTTAAAGTCCATATCACCCACCTCTAATTCATACCTCAAACCAAGACACTTTGCTTGGATTCATGAGCAACAGGGAACACACTCTGAGGCATTTGGAAGAATTGGAGAAGCATATTGAAACCATGATGCTAGCCATCTATCCTACTCAATAATAACCAACAGTTAGGTTTGCTATTCTCCCGACCCCACTGAGGGACAAGGGTGTTCAGAAAATGGATGGATGGATGGATAGGTTTGCTATTCACTGACCTTACTTTACAACTTCTCTACGACTAAGATCAAGAAAAAAGAAAACTCTTTCATGTTTACAGGTAATGGACTCTGGTGAACAGGGCCTCTTTGGTGACCTACAGACCACTGTCTCCACCATCGCCATGACGACCACCTCTGCCTCACTAGCGCCCCCTAATGAGAATCGCCATGGCCACCATCAGGTCAGTAAATACCAACACTAATTCGAACTGTTGGCACTCATTTAACGTTCGGACTCAAGCAACACTTTGAACTTTACTAGAAGTCAGGGGATGGATACAAAAAAAATCTCTAAGGTGTTGTGTATTTCAATTTATCTATCACTATTATTTTGTAGAAATCAGTTTTCACTCAAATTATTTATTTTTTGTCAACAGTTCACATTTTGTTCATCATGATTGATTTGTAAGCGCGATTAAAAAGGTCAAACATCCAAGGGAGTGAATACTTTTTATAGGCACGCTATGTCAAAATATGATAAACTTATCTTTAATGATTAGTCAAACACATTCTGTGGAAGTGGCAATGCAGAAAAAATGACTAATCCAAGCCAAAAATAACATAGCAGCAACAGGATGCAATGAGCTTATGACAAAGATAAGCATGAGTCTCAGATAACAATGCAACATATAGGTGACACTTTTATGTTGAATGATTTTAGTCAAATTTTTTCCTATTCTGTGGTACAGAATCGCACCACACAGCTCGTCTGATGTATCCTTCCTCTTCCTTGTTTTTAAATGTTTAAGATAATAAAGGACCATTTATCCCCTTTGTAAATGTTCCTTATTTTGTTCTCTATTTTCCAAATTGCTTGTTTTCATAAATCATCCCAACAGGAAGTGTGAAAATCTAAGCATTATGACAACCTTCTGAAAAGTCCCCAGCTACATTTCTTTTTCCTTCTTTTTAACTCACAGGTTGCCTTGGCAACAGAGATCCCTGACTACAACCAGATGACCTTGCCACTGGGAGGAGGTCACACTGCTACAGCGGCCCAAATGCGGCACTTCTGCCGCAGCTACGAGTTCCAGCTTCCCCCACAGCCTTCTTCCATGTCACCTCCACTCCCGCCTCCCTCCACGGTGCAGTTCTCCACCCTGGGCCCCGGGGGGCGCCATGTCTACTGCAACATCCCCATGACGCTGCTGAATGGACAGGTGGGGGAACCTGTGTCTTCTGGTTTTTCTCGTTCCTAGACAGCCTCTTAACACCCACCATCTGCACAGAGTATCCTTTTGTAATGATCCATACTGTTATGTGCTTGCGTGTGCTCGGAGTTGAAAGCAAATAAAAATAAAAGCCCTCTTTTCTCCCCAGGGGTTCAGAGCAGTTCACTGGGGAACAAGAGGTCTGTTTGGATAAAAGAGAAAATAAAAGAAACATTGTTTCATTTTGTGTAACGCTAGAATATGTGTTTATTCTAAAAGTAGGAAGTAGGAAGACAGGATGATGATAAACAGTAGGCTTGGACTAGTATTCATACCCCTCAAACCTTTCCACATTTTGTCATGTTACTACCCAAAACTTTAAAGTACAGTAATTTAAAGGGATTTAATATGGTGAACCAAACCAGTGCATAATTGTGAGTCTTATATGTTTTTTTTATATATATTTTCTTTACGTTTAAGATTCTGAAAAGTCTGATACGAGTTTTAACCCTAAATAAAACCAGCGCAAACAAACTGCCTTCAAAAGTCATATTATTATTATAAATCTTTTATTCTTACAGGAAAATGTCTTGAGACTCAAACCAACTACTTTGAAAAACCTGTTTCCCCACCTTTACCTGTGGCGGCGCTGCATTAAGAACCACTGAAGAAAACAATACCAGAACCTCAAAAGAAGACATGACCACAAGTGCTTTCTTCACGAAATGTAAACAAAAATGGCCTCAGATTTTAGCGGTTGTAGGATTTCTCTCTTGTCTTACCAAGAGTCATTTCTCCCATAAGCACTATACTAGGATATTTATATTTGGTTGTATTTACCCAGAATGCCTTGCACAATAGACTCCTTCCTGCTTTTGGAGCAGTCTCTGGTCCTCTTGGCATTCATATTTGCATTCGAACCAGCCCAGAGTTCACTTCAACCAAACAGACCTGGGCCTGTCGATGGACCAGAGTTCAGTTTGTTGGTCCGAGTCAGAGTTTGATTATTCATACCTCCCCAAACGAACCGGACTTTCTAGACAAACAAACTGGAGTTGGATTAAAGCGGACTGGATTAAATTCTGGTGAGAATTTTTGGTAAGAATATGTTCTGAAATCCCCAACATCCAATCTGAGTGAGTCTAAGCTCTATTGCAAAGACAAATTGTCAAAAATGTCACTGTTGGAGATGTACAAATGTGGTAGAGATGTAAAGGCTTGCAGCTGTAATTAAAACCAAACGTAGGTCCTTGACATATTAACTCGGGGAAGGATTCATGCATACCTCACTTTTCAGGTTTCTATTTGTAAAAGACTTCAAATCTTGGCTCCTTCTGCTTGTCAATCACAAATATGCAGTACTTTGTGTTGGTCTACCATATAAAGTCCCAAGAAAATATGTTGAAGTTTGGTGTAGTACTGTGACAAAATGTGAAAAGGTTTAAAAAGTATAAATACTTTTGCGAGACTCTGTCTGTAGATAAGGCATTAAACATTTAGCATGCAGTAGTAATGATTCTCGTAGAGTTATGCTGTAGGTTTTTGTTCGGACATAATGTAGGAGTGCATTGTTGACACCTGTGGCTCTGTGTTTGTCAGGTGTCTCAGAGCAGTACGCTTGGGAAGAAGCCAGACCTCCACCTGAACAGCACCTTCGTACCGCTCACCAGCAGAGAACTAAGCTCTGATATCTGGTAGACTGACGGCTCAGTCGGTACCCGTTTACGGACCGCTGGGCAGACGCCTTCTGGTGGATTGCTTGTACAACTGGACTTTGTTTGGGGGGGTTTGACTTTGTACAGACTTGAGAGTTAGACGGCTCCTCGAAGACTGCCTGAGGACTGCTACTGGGTCACTTCATACCACGTCATGAACAAAGAACCTTAGTGGATGAGGCATGACTTGAATCTTAAGTGTACTGGGCAAAGACAAATTCTAAGAACAATTGCTTTCCGTGATGAGGGGAGTGAACTGGCTGCAGACTGACACCAGCTTGGATTGCAAAAAGTCAACCATTGCAAAGGGAGTGCTGCTGCTGACTGACCAACAATATGGCCCACTGGGCAGAGGAAAATTACGTTTTTAGACAGACGCATGGATAAAAGTACTAGAAAAGACTGAACAGGGTCCAGGAACCCTAAATGATTACTATGTGCAGACTCTAGGGACTCTGTTTGTCCAGGCAGCTGCCAAGTTGCATCCTAGAGCACAAAAAGGTTTCTCGATTGCAGATTGTTCTCACACCAGCCGCTATGGAAACCGGTTGACTTGGAGGCCACTCGAGCCACAGAAGGGTCATTCAGCTGAATTCTGTCATTCTTTTCCTGAATGTAGGTCAGTCCTTGGGAAATCAGCCTACCTGTTGACTACTGTAGGTGTTTTGGGAAAATATTCCACCTTAAAACAACAAGTCAACCTCTTGAAGAACTATAACTAGCTAGCTGGTTTGGCTCATAGAAACCAGGCTGGTTGACTTTGAAATGTTTTTTTATACAATGTAAACCATTAACTAAAACAGCAGAGATTTTCTAGTAACCATTCAAATGAAACTGAAAGCTGTCTAACTCAACCTAGCTAGCTAACTGAAAACTAGCTTTCAGTTAGCTAACTGAAAACTGTTAGCTGTTATAACAATTATAAAAGGTTTCAATTGGCTAACTGAAACCTGTTAGCTAACTGAAAACTAGCCTTCAGTTAGCTAACAGCTTTCAGTTGGTGGTAGATGGTAACCGTCTACCATAACCTCCAAATGTAGTCGACTCCCGGAGCAAACAGAACCGGAGATTATCCATTACAACCAAACTAAATCGTATTATGGACTTGGCTTCTTTTCTATTTGCATGACCCACCCATTTAGATACCAAAAGAGGATCCAATAAACATAGGTAAAAGAGAAAAATGACACAATCATTTGTTGCAGCCTTTTTTTTTGTTTGTTTTTATAATGAACCTGTTGTGTTGATGCAGTACGTTTTGTTTCTGTCTGGCCATGGCGTGATGGTTAAAACTGATAAAAAGGGAAAAATGGAGGTTTCCCTCCGATAAAAATTTTAATATTTATTTAATCATGTTTAATTTAAGAGTTTAATCCTCTTGGACTGTTTTTTTTTTCACAAAGATTTGCTTTTACTGCCCATTTGTTACAAGAATCTCTGTACAGCTTTCCATTACTTCTGTATAGATCCCAACATGACAGTGATTTGTTCTCTAGGTTTTCCACTAGCGTCCACGTGCTCCAGAGGTGTTTTGTTTTTGTTCTCTTCCTTGTTTTAACGGACAGGTCGATGGATCGCCCCTACTGATGGACTGATGTTTTAAACTTTCGCCGCCTGTCAGCCGAAGGTGGGGTAGGGCAGTCCCACCGCTGAAGCCGCTCTAAAACTCCAAGCTGAATCAAACATTCTTCTTTTTGAGCTTTAAAAGAAATAGTTTAGACCGCAATATTTAAGCAATGTGGATAATGTTTTGAATTCACACAAAGGTACTGTCATTGTCCTATTAGAACCAATGAAATTCTGGACATTTTGAGGTTGTTTGATACAATAATTACTTATGAGTTGTTATATTCGATGGCAATATACAGTATAATAGTTGTTTTGTTTTTTTCCCTTTTTGCTCATTTCTTGGACTATTCTTTGAATATATTTGTTGACATTATTTAACTGAGAGCAAATAAAAATGCATTAGTTGTTTTACTAATTTTTGATGCCTGTCACTTGTTTCTCTTTCTCCAATCTCTCATATCTTTACATCTGCTTCAAACCCAACTCCTTTACTTTAAGATCCTCTCCTCTGCCCTTTAACTTCCTCTACAGCAACTGTTCATATTTCTCAATATTTCTGAATCATGCTGTACCACTGATCTCTAGATTGTGTTTCGTTTGGTGGCATAAGACCCATGTTTCACACTGTTTATCTTATCTCCACTTCACACATACTAACTGTGTGTAGTGTTTCTGCAGCTGCCAAAAGTCCAACAGCCATCAAAAAAAAGGTATGGTGAAATTAAACCACGCAAGTAAGACAAACTGCCAGTTTATAGAGAAAAATACACTTGTAAAGGGTTTAAAACAGCTAAATATTACAATGGTGATTTTTTTAGAACAGAAAGTCAGTACTTTCGTACATACATCCCTTTTCTGTGCCGCTTTTCATGAATTAAAAGAAACAACTTGACTGCTGAAGTTCAAAATACTTCTCGTCATATATGAAAAGCAGAAGTAGATGAGACATCATTAGGTAACGCCATTACATATACTGGTAAGAAGTCCCAAAGCTTTTGCATCTGGCTTCAGTATTGTTGGTGAAGTAGTGAGGGTTTTGGTGTGTGGAGCTTAAGGCTGTTTCCCAGGGCAGCATTAGAAATATCAGGTTTTTAAAAAGTTTTAATACCGTCCATTTATCGGTCGGTTATGCCCTGAGAAAGTTTAGATTTTTGCCTTTTGTGTGGTCAGTGGGAACTGGACACTTCCCTGTTGTAAACAGGGAGTCTTTGTTTTCTTTTTAAATAAGCAAAATTAACAACTTTATGGAACTATGCTGTATTTTTCCCAGTTTGTCCGACACATGACAACTGGAGTCATGCAGATGGTTGCAGCACACAAACCAGAACCAGCACACATAAAAAGTGATCTCAGAAACACAAAAGCTGCAGTATGTAACTTTTATAAAAAGGGTTAGTTTTTATTTGTTGAAACTGTCACCATGTCATGACAATATAGTATGAGACAGAGAAAGAAAAAAAATTTAGCCTTCTCCCGGTGCTAACTAGAAATAACCAATCGGGGGGGAGGTGGGGTCTTAGTGCCCATTTACACACAGACCGTTCTGACAGCAGAGCTTGATGTGAAGGCTTGTTAGCATGGACACCGATAACAATAGGTTAAACGGTTTTCCTGTTACAGTAAGTTGTTTCTGTCATTAACACATTTAGCAGCACATTCACAAGGTTGATTGACAGCGATGAGAACCTCCTCCTGGCTCTGATTGGTTGTTTTTGATCGGGAGCGATACGTCTCTGAAGAGTGGCTCAGGGAGGAGGAGACGGATATCGATCTTTTCAAATTATCTGTCTTATATTTTAGTGTTAAACTAAAGAGTTATGTACTGTAGCTTTAAGGCTTGAACTCCTCCTTGACTTGTTTTTGTTTATATTTGCATGCACGCAAACATTAATCCCAACTTCCTCGCATTGTCAAAAGTCCTTTAGCAAAAGCTCCTCATAAATGTCAAAGTGAACTCGAAGCATTTTCTCCAAAGCGGTTCAGTTTTTCTACACTCTGAAACATTCCTCTAAGACAGTGTTTCTCAACCCTGGTCCTCAACGCCCTCCCGTCCTGCATGTTTTAGGTTTTTCCCTTCTGCCACACACCTGAATTGTATCTCTGGGTGATTAACAGCCTTCTGCAGTACTTGATGGTCATGCAATCATTTGAATCAGCTGTTCTGGAATAGAGGCACATCTAAAACATGCAGAGCAGGGGGGTGGTGAGGACCAGGGTTGAGAAAAACTGATCTAAGAGGACTTTGTCCTTTGTTTGGAAGTGCTTTGTTTTCTTTTTTATTTTATTTTATTTTTGAAACTTATTTTACGGTCAACATATGAGTCAAAATAAAAGGCATACATTTCAAATTGTTTAACAGTTTTCTCATACAAACATTTTCTACTAAACCATCATAAGAAGTAAAATCTTTATTTCAAACATGTCAAATGTTTATAACTGGCATCACACATGATGTCTTCTCTGTTCATGTCCATGGGCTTCTCCTAGATTTTGTCATCTCTATTCTCTTTCAGTCAGGTATTCCATGTGGCTGCTCAACGCTGTGTTAATTGGACTCACCAGTTTCTCACTGTTTATAGTTATTTTTTATAAGGCACCAGTTAATTTTTCTTGTGTGCCTACTGCTTCATTTGTAGCTTAAATGAACAGTGGCTGTTTCCAGTAGACATAAAATTGCACAAATTGAAATTACAAAAAAAAATAATCATTTTTTATGGAAACACTGCAGTTTCAAAAATCTCAAGGTTTTTTTACAGTTTCTTGAAGGTTTTTGCACTGGGGCAAGATGGTTTTCAGCCGCATCAAAAAGGGTGTATTTTGCAAAACTGCAATGGAAAAATGTTATTTGCATCACAGGAGTCATATGATCAACCATGATCAGGAAGTGGTAGGAGGAGGATGTTTTTTGTTTTTTTTTTTTACTTTTTTTTTTCAGGCGATATGCAGCTGGTTCCTCCAGAGCTCTCACAGCATCACACAGTTCATAAAAAGTTGTGTGTCTTTCTAAAGTGTTTAATCCATCGCTCTTCTGTAAAATGGCCAACTACAATTTCCCCAAAACGCTGCATATGCAGCCACTCCCGAGTAGGCGGGGCTTGTTGCTCCAAAGCCTGACTAAGATGCTGACATCTCCTCTGATTGGCTGATAGATGAGCGCTAACATCATAACTGAATAATGAATATATCCATCGCTGCCATTATTTTTAATTACTTATTGTGTTAAACTTATTCATGCGTGATTTTAATATATTATTTAGTGGAAACACCACAATCATGACATTGTTCAACATTAGCAGAACATAGACACATTTGTTATGAAAATTTGGCTTGTGCTACAGTGCTTTTACTTTCTGTTTGATAAAGTGCAGAATTCACAGGTTGCACAAATGTGTGGTTCACTTCATGCACAGTGGGCTCACATGTTGAACTGACCTTTCTGTACGTTCAGTTTGACTCACTCACCAAAGGTTTTTCCCCCTGCAAAAGAAGACCACACCACAGTTTGTCGGTCCACTTAATGCACGAAGCATTCACAAAAAAAAGATTTGTAGAATATTCTCTATGCACTGACAAACTTTAAAGAAAATCCCCCTATTGGGTAACGAACATTAGATTCTCAAAGGCCAGCTCCATTTGGTGCAGACGCTTTAAGAAATAAAGTAGTTTCCCTGTAGCAGATTCACAGCATGCAAACAAACAGAAAACAAACCAAGCGACAAGCATAGTACATATTTATAGAAAATGGATTCAGTAATGACATGTGTGTTAACTGTATTTTTTGCTTTTTATGTCTGAATGAAAGTCTTTGCCGTTTCCAAGCAGTTGCTGCACATTAAAAATCTTAAGACCTGCAGCTCTCTGCAAGCAAGCTTTCCTTCTCTTTCCGATGTCAGATTAGATTTTGAAAATTGACTCACTGTAATGTTAAGCAAAACATACGGAGGCTGAACCAAGTGCTAGATCCTCTGTGACGGTAAGGCGGAGATGTAGCAGATAACGGCTGCAGAACATGGCAGCTGGTTATGGAAATAATTTTACTTATGAATAAGAAGAAAAACCTTTAATCTTGCAGTTCTGATGAAATGTTATGTGTTAATTACTAAACGTATGATATGTTATTTATTTATCAGCATATTTTCAATGAGTCATTCAGACTTTTTTGTCTTATATTTTACTTGATCTTCTTGTATAGATCTATGTATAGTTATGTTAAGGAATCAAGACAAGCTGTGTGTCTTTGCAACATATTTAAACATGGATATTAAAGGTCAATTGGAGCACTACTGTGATATTCAATTAATATAACAAAACTATTAAAATTGAGAAGAGACTTATTTAAAAATAACTGAAATATGTAAAAAGAGATAAAAATGAAATGAATTTTTGATTAGGGCAAACCACAAACAGGTTCTGGTTGCCTGTGGTTAGGATTCAGCTTTTTAAAGATTTGCTCTGTTTGAGCTTTACATATTTGGTATGGTGCTTCTGAACTTTTTAATGGGAGGAAACATGACGGTGAGACACATAGAGCTGTCTGAGGCATTTAGTTACTCATCTGTAGAAAGAAAAAAAACAGTCTACAAGAGGAGAGCATGTAAAACAAACATGTCTAGGTCTTGTTGGACCAACAGATTCACCCTAAAAGCAGAAGATACACAAACCAAGCGATAAGCATAGTACATATTTATAGAATATGTACTATCAAACATGTAAAAGCGTCATTACCGCTTTTACATGTCACAACAGCGTGGCGGATAACGAGCAGCCCGGTAGCAGTCGCCTTTCTCTGCGTTTGATCGTGGCATTTGTTAATGGTAGAAAGTACCGGAATGGCGACTGCAGGGAAGGGAAACTGGTACCGGACTGGTCCATCATCCGCCGCACTATTGTTACAAGCGTAGTGTGCATGAAGTCAGTGTAGCTTAGCCAGACACCAAATGTCAGCCATGATGAGGAACAGCGGGTGGGACTTCCTTCAGAGGTCCGCTCACCCTGTGGGCTGCACTAATGTTATATTTTCATATCACGGTCGGGGCCACAAGACACCGTCCTGCGGGCCGCAATTGGCCCGTGGGCCCCGAGAATGAGACCTCTGCTCTAAAGTGTTGAATCCATAGACTTCCTGTATACTAACTTATAAGTGGAAATTATTAATGTGAAAATGAGTCAATATGTTGTCTGTATAAAAACTGATAGCCGCTCTAAAGTAACTTAGGAGCGAATCAAAGATGAACAGGAAGTGTTCCTGCTTGGCGGCATTATGTCGATGCATTAGCTGTTGTAGTCGTTAAAGTGGCACTTCCTGTGTTTTTAGCTAATACATTGAACATGTCGACAGGAATAAAATGGTGAAAATATGGCTTTGAAAAATGAACACTCATTTTCTTTTGACAAGTTAAATAAACCAAATATATTGGATGGAATAATGTCTAAATGAAAATACTGATTCAAAAACTTCAGCAAATATTACAGATAGAGAAGCAGTGTTTGTTGTTGTCTTTATGGTGAATTCACCGAACCATAATCAGAAATTCAAATTATCCGTGATTTGAAAGTCTGGCACACATAAAAAAAAACCCCCAGAAAGATCTGCTCATGTTTTCTTCCTGTGAAATTCAGCGTGCTCTCAGAACCAGTTTGCTCTCAGGGCTTACGTTTCATTGACTGTGACGCTCTGACTTCCTCACCACAGTCGGTGAGAGTGAAGTGCTGTCGAAGGAGATTAGAGGCAACATAGTCAGTCTGTACTGCAGTGTTTCCAACCCTGGTCCTGAAGGCACGCACTACCCTGCATGTTTTAGTCGTTTCTCTGCTTTCAGGTGCAGCACCTGATTCAAATGGCTGCAGGTCAGCAAATGCCCGTTAATCAGTCATCAATTGAAATCAGATGTGCTGAAGCTAAAACCTGCTGAGTAGTAGCTGAACAGACATGGGCAAAACTTTGTCAGGATTTTGCTAATGTTTCTGTCTCTACCTATCTAGATAGCTAGCTAGCTGGCTTGCTATGTCTCTATTAAGCCCGCTAGCTAGCTGGATCCGGCCTATTCAGTTCTGTGTGTTTATTCTGTCTGCCAGCCCCCAGTTTCTTTGCTCTCTCTCCCAGCCACAGCTGTGCCACATTTTCTCTGATTGGTTGATTTGGTTCCTGGGTCATTTTCCCAGCCTTGCCTCAGCACTTAAGCTCTCTTGTTTTCGTTGTGTAAAACTTAATTCCTCTGTTACCTTCTTTATTCGCCTCCTGCATTCCTCGTTTTGCTCTCTATGCCTCATTTTCTGTAAGTTTTTATTACTTTATTAAAGCAATCCCACATTTTCCCCTCTGCATTTGGATCCTTTCCACCCACAAATTAGGACAATTTTGGGTGAGTCAAATTTCTTCTGTCACAACCTTCCTTCTGAATGGGGCATACAGAAGGCTATGACAGGCAGAGGAAAACCAGTTCTATATAGCAGCTCATGTTGCTCCTTCACTGCTTCCTCTCAGCAGCCTTCTTAACCTCTTCCTGTAAAGTATCTTTAAGCAGTTTGGTTTGGATGAGGTCCAGCAAAGCAGTTGATGGCTTTCCTAATGGAACAATCAAAGAGTAAGAGGCGAAGCTAAACCTCTCATTAATCCGCAGTCAAGTTGAATAGTGTCAGCCTCGGGATGGGGATTCATTCTTTTACGTCTTCTAAAAGTAAATTCTAGTAAGAACTGAGTGTCCAGAGGTTTCTAGATGCACTGCTGGGATTAAAATCTAATTCAAGAAAGTCAAGTTGTGGGAACTGCCTTCAGCAGCTCTCAGAGAAACTCTGAGGTGACCGTTTTGCAATAAACCCAACTGTTTCCTTTGTCATTCAGAATACATCCTGCTGGTGTTGGTTTGTGTAAGGGAAGTGTGTAACTACTTAGAGGCTAACACTTATTTTATGTATTTATCCTCTGTATGTCACCATATATATATATATATATACGCACACATAAAGCTAAGCATAACAAGTGGTTTTAAAGTGTTTTCTTAGAACTTTGTAAAAGTAACATGGCTGGTAGGTTTTATGCTTTATGCTTTCAAAATCATAAGGAGTAATAAAATATCCCAAAACAAAGATTGTGTCTGCACCAAGCACTAATTTTTACAGCCAAAGCAAACCTAAAAACTCTGCTTAAGGGGAAATGTCCAGAAAATAATGTTACTTAGGCTTCTGTGTGGTGGAGTACTGCTTTTAAGAACCCTTGTTTGCCTTTTTTTAGGACTTAGAAGTAATTTTAGTTTCCTGTTAACTGAAATGATTGCTCCAAAGAGAGACGCACTTAAAAGTTTATGGTTATTCACACAATAAACTGTTTTGTGTTGGTTTCTTTTGAAAAAAATGCAGGTCTTTAATAAGTAATTAAGATGATTTTGGATATATCAACTGTGTTTTGAAATATGTATATTTGGTTTTTGGATTAGAATGAAAAATTTATAATGTAATTGACGTATAATATTGACTGGGGTTTTTTTCTCCATTTTTTAAACTCTAATTGCCATTTAGACACTTTGAATTCCTTATCAAACTAAGATAACTAAGATAACCCTGATCCCCTCATAAATTGTGCAAAAGTTTCCATTGTTTTAGGAGTTTTGATTTTGAGTTTTGGTGGAATTTTACCAAGAATGTATGAGTTCATAGTAATTATGTCTTATATTATCACATTTCAACAAAGTAGAAAATATAATGTTACTTTAAGGTATTGGTTAGCAAAGTGGGTGGGATTGAAACATCTTGCAAATGTAAAAAAAAAAAAAAGAAAAAAAAAGTCAAGCATAACGGCCATTAGCAGTTTTGATCATCTTCACTTCCTCAATTAGAAAACAACCAAAAGCTGTAAATGGGTGAAAGGGCAGCACTATTAACATGAAATAAATTTCAACTGCTTTTGATTGTAACAAATGTCTAAACAGAAATAAGAAGTTTTTTTTGTTTATTTTCCTTTTCATGGCTTAACATTGATGGAACAAAAGACAAAGGTGAGCAGTTGTCAAAACAAACAGCATTCATGGATGCAGCTGAAGTGATCTGATCATATCAAGCACAAGGACAAATTCCTCTAATTTATCCTCATATTTAATCTCTTACAGTTCACATTATAAACCTTTAGGAAACAGTTCTTCAAATTTACTAAGAAAACTCCTTAAGATTTAAGGTCACATATCACTTCTGCTAGGTTCTAAACTAATTTGTTTTTTAACTGAAGTTTTTCTGCCCCATTTTTGCCTTTGCATTGTACAGAAGCACTTAGCACCAGCTGCAGCAGTACAAACACAAGAGATAATGAGAGAGAGAGGGAGAGACAGAGAGAGAGGGAGAGAGAGAGAGAGGGAGAGAGAGAGAAAGAGAGAGAGAGAGAGGAGGGAGTTTGTATTGCTATAGTTTGACCATAGTGACTCAGAGTAACCAGGCTTGCCTCTTATGGAAGTCATAGAGATCTGCAATGTGTCCACTGGCAGGTTTTCTGCTTATGTTTTCTAAAGCAGCCTTCAGAGGAGGGCATGGGATCAGAAAAGGCGGCAGATGCTGTTTTGTGGCACTTCCTCTCAAACCACTTCACAACCAGTGACAGACAACAAGCAGAGGCATGTCCTCATTCTGACTCGACTCACCCGATAGACTTCTCAGAAGTAGCCATGTTGAATTATTCTTTGTCAAAAAGGTAAGCCCGTGTCTGTATTTTGAATAAAATGTGCTGGCACAGTTTGATGGGTGTGTCACGCTTCAGACTAAAAAGATGCGTAACCTTTATTGTTTGGGGGATTTTTTTTTAAAGAAGCAACAAAAATGATTGAATTTCTGTCATGCAATTTAATCGTTTTTCAACTTCAGGTCCCAATTGTAGAATTTGATATAATCCTAATTACTCAGAAAGTTGATTCCTATTCTCACAAATGTCCAAACATAAAAAAGTATCCTATTTTTATGGTTGAACATTTAAGAACTGACATACAACTGCAGGGGAAAAACATCACCTGGAATTACTTAAAACAAAGAAAAAGAACAGGAAAGTAAATAGAGAGTTTCCATTACTGTTTTTTAAAAAATGAAGTTTTCCTCTGTTTCTGATTGTAGTCCCTTCGTCCATATCATCTCCAATCATTAGACAGTTACACTTGTAAATGCAAGTTTCTGCATGAGCATGTTTGCTGACTGTTTTTCAACCGCTCTTACATGCACGCACACTGTAGTCACCAAAGATAACATGTTTCTGCTTGTCATTTTTGCGATCGCATAAAGATGCACTACTTTCACGTGGGAGCTCAAACTGTGACAAGTTGAACTCCTCTACTGTCTCCTAACTTCATGTCTCTCAATGGGAAGCCACCAAAGCAGCTGGTAGGGACTGGACTCATATTTACTGCACATTAACAGGTTATAGTGTGATCTGGAAGGAAAAAGTTGGGTGTTTTTTGCATGTTGTTGTTTTTGGAGTAAATATGTTGTTTCTGCTGGTGGGTTTAGAGATGTTGACTGTGTGTTAAGTGTAAGTGTTGCAGCTTTCTTCCATGCTAGGGATGCAGTGTAGACTTAAACATCTGCTTTTGTTTCATTGTGATTTCTAGTGCTTCACAGCTTAGAGAATGGAGTGCATTATGCTAGACACTTAAGAAAATCCAATTTATGTTTCCTCTAAATGGTATAAATGAGACGGCAAGGCTGCAAGTCGGTACTAATTAAATATGACGCACTTTCATCAGTTTGTTTTCACATGCACGCTATGATTGAGCTCAAGTTTCACCATAAATGTTTTTTGTGGTTGCGCCTGTTGTAGTTCCAGAAAGATGTGAAATGAATCTTGATCACCGGATGCACCTCTAACCAGTACTAAAGATGTTTCACTCCTCACTCTGCAGTGAGAAGTCTCCGTGGAAAAGAGCCAGGCGTTGGTTGTTCTATGTCATGCTCTCCCTCATGTTGGGAGTTTTAGTTCTCTACAGTTGGTTCTCATCATCTTGGAGACCTCTGCTGATTCAGAGGGACGACAACAAGACGGCAGTTCAAACTGTGAGTACGTTGTTTTTTTTAGTCCTCCGGGATTAGGTCATACAAAAAAAATAACAGGCTAACTTCAACATGATGAGTCATCAGCAACACATTACTGTAACTGGACTGTTTGTTTTTTCTTCACCCTGATTCTGGTAATCTGCAAAATTAATTTACTGTAAGACAGCCTTTAGGAAGGCTTGCACCTGGATATGAGATTTTCAGAGTATGACTACGCTGAAAAAAAATAACAGATGGTTCGTTAAAAAATATTTAAAACAAAGATGCAGAATAAAATCTAATCATTTTAGTTTAAAAAAAAAAAGCACAAACATGCCGACTGGTGATGGTATAAAATTGTTATATAAAGATGTGTAAAATTATTGCACCACTTCCAAAATATATTAGTCGTCAGTCTTTTGTCTCTCATCAGTCATAGTATACCAAACGTAGCTCAATTTATGTCTGAAGTTGGATCACTTATTGGGGAATGATGCGACATCCATTGGAAACCAACTGAATAGCAAATCCAATAATATAAATTTCTCTCTTATTTGCTGAAACATTGAGTTTCTAAAAACCCATTTGTTTTGAGCTGCATTTAAATAACTGGAACATGAGAAACTTTTTTTCAGTCGTTCATTGTTTTCCCTTACTTTGCAATCACAATGTAATGTTTTCTTGCTTTTTTCTTGTTTCACATGCCTTCGAATCATGCAAAGCACATTGAACTACCTTGCTGTCACAACTCTGCGAGGTAAATGAAACTTAAGAATTCAAATAAAGCAAGGACACAAATAAGTGTTTGATTTCACTATGTGATGCTACATGGTAGCACAGTTGCCCCTGGGTTTGAATCCTGGTTTGGAGTTTGCCAACCTTTCCTGCTCAGGCTCTCCTCATGGACTCAAGCATCCTCCCACAGTCTAATAATTTGGCGCAGTATCGGCACCAAAATTCAGACTATTGCTAACCCAGAGAAGGCTATATCCAATCCGAAGTAGGTAACTGATCTGATTAGTGCTAGGCTGGCACTGGTAAATTAGAAACCACCAGAGGTCACTGAACGCTAGCAAATGAGAAATAGTCTACTGACTTGCATTAGCGTTGGAGAGGTTGGTGACTAGCATGCCTAGTCTTGTCACTCTACTGGTTGCCTACTTCCAATAGCCAGCAGAGGCTACTGGCCAGCAGAGGCCATTAGGAGTTTGCTAACCAACAGGTTAGCATTAGCATTGGACAGGTTGGCAATTAGCAAACCACAGCACTCAAGACAAGTTGAGAAATCTTTAGAGAGCGGTTGATGAGCTTCGTCCATGTCAGGTTGTTTGTCCTGTGCCTCTCTACTGCTTCATTTCCACTGAGCAGTATGGCATGGGTCAGTGCAGAGCCACATGCCAGATTGTTTAGATTTTAAAAGTGGGTCATTCTACCAACCCACTACTGCACAGTTCCTGGAAACCCTTCAGTTCTAGGTTCATAAGACAATGATAAGGAGCAACTGAGTTGGGGTTACTGGTGTCACACCACACAGTCCATTGACATGGGGACAGAAAAATTACATTGCTTGAGACAAGCTAGTATGACACGTTATTAGGTATTCAGATTTAATACCACCTGCCCAGTGCAAGTCCAACTGCTGGTGGAAACACTCTCCTGAAAATGGCAGACCATAAAATAACGTAACAAACTACACCGAGCCATGCTGTACCACTCACTGGAAATGAGGGGTGTTGTCATGCGATGGCCAGGCAACCTGTGACCCAGCAAGAACAACCAAGTGTAGACAATGGACGGATGGACATCGTTATTGCTACTGGATACAAACCATCACACAGGTGAATGAATACGCATTTTAAGCCTAATGGGCTCAAACTAGGGTAACTTAGGGAGTTTGCATATCGACTTAAAATTGGTGTACTGTTGCATAGTAAGCTTCTTGCTTTCAGTAGAAAACATGTCAGGAAGAAAGAAAGTGGCCAAAAATAGTCAGGGGCACAATATGGATGAAGAGGAAAATGTTTAAAATGCCTCTAACTTTATAAAACAATTCAAGCAAAACCACTTTGACCAAGGTATTGTGACCCCGACTAGGCATCTTTCCTGTCACAGCATTTCAGGCATGTTACATGGGGTAGCTGGTTGCCTACATCTGCCAGGGAAGCTTTTATCTGCAAGATGCAAATCTGGAGATGGGATCCTAATTGCTTGACTGATTGTATGAAATCAGGGTTCTATCAGGCATGAAAGTGGATAGGTGACTTTAATGAAATGTGAACTCATATCTGACCTTCTCTTTGGGAGTGTGGGGGTGAGTGGCTGTGTAGGTATGTGGAGGTAAGTCTTAATTAGTGTCTTTGACTGTTTTGATGATTTCTTTTTTCCACCTTGACCTTAGCATGTCTTGAAGCATTTTTGGGTGACTTGCTTTGTCCTGATCTGTGAGCACTCAAACAAATTCCTGTGTCAATCAGCTTGTGCAAACAGTGGAAGGTAACAGAACTGGAGTTTATGCCAGAACTGACAATGAGGTTCATATATAGCTTTGTTACAGCGTCAGCACTCTCCTACATCCCCCTACACACTAACACATGTATAGCACAGACTCCATTTAAACACTAATGCATGATATTCACGGATATGTTGCACAGCACAACATGCTGACTGACAAAGTTGCAAACAGTTGAGGGTAAAATGTTTTATTTTTGCGATTTTCACTATGGCAATAATATGGCTATGAGGAGCAGCCATGGTGGATTTTGAAGTTGTGGTTGGGAATTCCCAGGCTCTGCCCCATGACCAACTCCTGAACAGCCACAAGGATGAACTGAAAAAGAAATAAGTTCAGTTCCTATTTCTCTTCTCACCATCTCCAGCTTACTTATGAATGCATAACACTTATAATATTGCAATTGTCCCTATTATTTTTTTAAAAGTTGCTAGGATCAGCAATCTTCTGTGCTTCATATATACTACTGTCTCTAATCTTTTCACAACACTCCAAACGTTAGAGAGTTTTAAGTAAAAAAAAAAAACAAGCAACACATAAATGTGAACTGTAATTTCTGTATGAGCAACATTTTCAGAACACAGTGACAACTTAATCTTGAATTCAATTCCTACAGTAAGAGTTGTGGAATTGGCTTCTGCCAGGGCATGTTTGGCCAGTGTACATATGTTTTTGTTTTTAAAAAAGCTTTTAAAAAGCATTATATATGATGTAGCAATAATTTCACTGACTGCAAAACATAATTTTGAAAAGTAGGAGGTGGAGTTGTTTCAGTGGTTTTGCTGCTGAAAGTGAGAAAATCCATCTGCATTTTGAGGCTCTAGATTCGTAAATAAGTGTTTTCCCCTTTTTAAAATGCATCTCTATTGGTACAGATGTTGGTGTAAAAACTAATTCAGATGTAATACTGTGCAACCATTCAGAAAAAATAAATTTACGTTAAACTATGTGATGTATAAAACAAAACTTTGTTTTGCCTCCACAGATTTCACCTTCTCACTATATACCCTCACAGTTCTATGTGGAATACCCGTACCAATACCATTTCATACTGGATGAACCAAACCGATGCCGACAGGAGAGCCCCTTCGTGGTGGTCATGATCCCAGTGGCCCCACAAAGCAAAGAGGCTCGTGACATCATTCGCAGCACATGGGGAAGAGAAAATTGGGTGTTGGGCCAGTTGATCAGCTACTACTTCCTCCTGGGAAAGTCTAGAATAGGTAACGACGCAGAGCCACCTGATGAACAGGTGATGTGACCACTGTTTTTCTCTCAATTTTTACTGCTTGATAAAATAAGAAATAGTACAAGAGTTGAGTAGGGTGAACTCTAAGTGCACTGATGTCCTTTTTATTTGTGTAACTGGTGGCAGAGCTGGCAGCAAGAACTGTAGGTGATCACTTGACTCAAACAAATTCTTATTGCACGAACAAGCTTATTCACATGTGATTTTCATTTTATAACTTATTTAATGGAATCACCACAATCTCGACATTGAGGTTTTTTTTTTTTAAATTAGCAGAATATAGACAAAGATTTGCACACATTTGTAATGGAAACAGCTACTGACACAAGGATGGAAACGTCATTTTTTCTGAAACATTTTACAGCAGTGTTATATCCTACAATTATACCCCTATGTAACAGTTTTAATGCTTTCGACAACCCAATATCTTTAGTTTTACACCAATACTCTGGAAATGTCCAAATAACACGTACACCTCTATTTTCAGCCACTACGAAAGCATTGTTTTGTTTGGAACGTGTCTCTCTTGTCTGTACTGTCTGATCACTTCCTTTACTGAAATTTCTAAGCTGCTCTTCCTCTACCCATTACATGTCGGTGTGTTTAAAAAATGTGCTTTATGTAGTCCTAAGTATGAAGGAAGCTAAAACATCATGACAGGGTATGTTATTTTTGCTGTGTTAAAGTTTTCATGCTTAATAACAAGTCTATATGCAGATTCAGCTGTCATCTGTTTGTGCACAAATGCAAACAACTGGCTGGTATGTGCCATTTCCTGGAACTGTGGGCATACCCACAACATAGTGTGTTTTTTTATAATACACTTCATATCGTTTTCACATCATACACAACTCGCACTGTGCATAAGGCACCAAAAATAATCAGCGGTATCATAATCATAGTGAATCATACTTCAGTTTTCTGTTCAATTATACCTCAGTCAAAAGTTTGGGCAGAACCGAGCATTGTTGGAGCCGAGTAAACATCTCAAGTTTGACAGGTGTCTGGTGGAGCAAGAACGCCATTGAGCAATGCCTCAAATTGTTCTTCGTTTATAGATCTGTGTGCTCAAATCAGTCTCACTGCACGCTCAAGTTGGTGGCAGAAACAGCACCATAGTGAGGGAGAGAAACAGGAAGAGAAGTGATCCCATACTCTGCCTGTTTCATCTGTCCTGATTCAAAAAGTATTTGCTTTGAAAACCGGTGTTAAAGTCTGTGAAGCTAAAATAATCTGCAAAAAATAACTGCAGATTTGTAGTTTATTGGTTTTATGGGGTTTAAACACTTTGGTTTCTCTTGTCAGTCACAACAGCTGGTGTGCGTCTTATAATAGTTTTAAACTTAGTTGAGTTGTGAAAAGGTGTTGAGAATGGCTAGTTTATTTCTCAAAAGCAAAAGTTCATGCAAGTGAAAATGTCAGTGTAATCAAATTGAAAAGTCCGGACACCTTGTTGGCTACAAACACACAAAACAGTTTTTTGCGTAAAGCTGTGTGCAATTGTAAGAAATATCTGAGAGAAATTGTTCAGAGAGATATTTTCTGGAAAGAACGAGGAAAAGAAAGTAAAATGAGAACCAATCCAACATTTTTGTTGAACTGGTTATAAAATTAGGACTACTAGCTTTAGGGGGGGATGATTAACTCATTAGTGTCGTTCATTTTGACTCGCATGACATAAACGATAACAAAAGGGTTTCCCACTGTGTATTATAAGACTGGCGAGCGACTTTACTTCTGCCCCCACCAGACTTAGATTTAGTTTATAGTTGGAGTTAGGTATTAATCTTCCAGTCTTCAAATAATCCATAACTACCAAGTGATATTTTCAAATTTCCTGTCATCTTTAAACATTTTTTAGCTCAAAAACATGGCGGCCGGCTGGATGAAAGACTGCCCTACTGCACCGGGCTTAGCAAGTTTTCTGGGGAAACCCTAAATGTTGTAAAACAGCAGAAAACTGCATGGAAGAAACTGATGCAGGTCCAAGAGGATTTGCAATTTTTTGGAAGTGTTGAGATATGATGATGAGTACAAATGACTAAATGTTGTGGAGGTTAAACTAACATTTATATGAAATTTAATTTAATTGGAGAAATTAACAAAATAACTTGAGAAAAACTGTAATAAGCTTTCCCTTCTAATGAATCCTCCTCAGGGAAGTTAAACTTATATGCATGTGTTTGTTCTTTAATGTCCGACCTTTTTGTTGTTTTGTGAAAACAGTACAACTCTCACAGAACTTTCTACGATGACTCCCAGTTCTGTATTACACTTCCCACTGTTACACTTCATTCATTGTACTTTGTTTCCTCATTTCAATCTAATTTAAATTGTTGTCTTTGTGAACCTTACTTATCCTTCACCAGATAAAGAGAAATGCCCTGATAAATTAAGAATTATTTACATATTCAGGGGTGAGTGTGCTTACATCAGTGTTTCTCAACCCTGGTCCTCACCGCCCGCGGCTCTGGATGTTTTAGATGTGCCTCTATTCCAGAACAGCTGATTCAAATGATTGCATGACCATTAAGTACTGCAGAAGGCTGTTAATCACCCAGAGATGCAATTCAGGTGTGGCAGAAGGGAAACACCTAAAACATGCAGCACAGGGGGGCGGTGAGGACCAGGGTTGAGAAACACTGGCTTAGAGCTCCTAACTGGCTAGGACCGGCCCTAATACTGTGAAACATACAGACCTAAAAGGTCACTCCTATCTAACTCCTTTTAAAAAAGCAGTATTATGCAAAATCTACTTTTTTCAGCTTTACATCATGTTATAAGGTTATTCCCTCATCAAAAACGTACCTACAGTGTTGCCTTGATGCCTTCACGCATGTTTCAGAAATCATTTAATTCCCGTGGCAACCATTTAACTGTACAAAACACCTGGGTGAACCTAGCTCCGCTTTTGAGATGCAGCTTCTCCTCGGGCAATTCTCCTCCGTGACTCCCCCCCACTCAGCTCCTTCAGACTAGCCAGCAGCAATTAGCATATTTCTGGCAGAACTGCGCAACTGATGAGCTCATAATATGAGCCACTTCTCAGTGAAAGAGTGGTCAAAACATTAAATGGTTAATAGATTATGTTTTGATGACTTCCTGAAGATTCAGAGAGAGCAGGACTTTCTTAAAGAGGCCGAGACTCAATTTCAAGATGCTAAATTATGAAGTCAAATTTCTTTTAGGTCATATTTCACAGATATACATTTTTGAAGGTAACATAGTTACTTGATTGTGCTATAAAATGGAACCATGTGGCTGGAAAACACAATAGTGCTCCTTTTAAGAAACTACAAGACATGATTTGTGAGTTTGGCTCATTGTAGCTAACCGTTGTTGATTCCACAACTAGTGGATAAATAGCAACAAATTTGCTTGTTAATCCAAAGCGCACTCCCTCATTTACTACTTCTAGAAAGTCTCCTCTGCAATCCGATTGTTTGTTTTCGTAGTTCCTTCCCCATGACTGGCTATCAATGTTACCATTGAGTGTACTTATAAGTCAGATGTTAACTTCAGCTTCAAATGTTCTTGTTTTCTATAGATTTTGAATGAAAGCAAGAAGCACCACGACATCCTCCAGAGTAACTTCTTGGACAGCTACAAAAATCTCACCATTAAAACGATGGTCATGTTGGAGTGGCTCACCTCCCACTGCCCCAACACCTCCTATGCCATGAAGATCGACTCGGACACCTTCCTCAATGTACACAACCTCGTCGACATGCTCCTGAAAGCCCCCCGCCATGACTACATGACGGGCCTGGTGGCACGGGGCGCCGCAGTTCTTCGAGACCCGACTTCCAAGTGGTTTCTGTCGCCCAACGTCTTCCCCGAGGATTCGTACCCTCCGTACGCACTGGGAGTTGGCTATGTCTTGTCCCTGGATCTGCCCAAGCGGATACTGGAAGCGTCCAAAAAGGTTCAGGCTGTCTACATTGAAGATGTGTACATGGGTTTGTGCATGAGACATTTAGGGATTCAGCTGACGGAGCCTCCACGCGGCGGTTTGTTTGTCATCAACATGCCTTCAGAAAGGACGGGCTGCTACTTCGCCTCTGTCATTGTCTCATTACTGCACAACTCTGAGCAGATTTTGGATGCATGGAAGGCTTATGAGACTCAACCACACTGCTAGACCTTCAATGTTTGGTGGAATTTTCACCCACATGCACACGTACCCTGCTGGGGAGGAAACCGATGGAATGCAGAAGAAGTTTCGAAACTGTGTGCAACAACTGTGCCATTATTTAAAGTCTAATTTATTACTTTTTTAAAAAGATTGTATAAGTTGACATGTTTTTCATATTATTATTGTTCCAACTAGAGGTGTGCCGATCGATCGGCCACCGATCATAATCGACCGATTTCTGTGAAAAAGTGTATGATCGGTGATCGACGATCACGGTCTCTTGTTGCCGATCACACAAACCAATCACCTGCATCTCATTTTGCAGCCTGCCTGTGCAGCTGGTCTCCTCTTTCCTTCACACTGTGCAAACGCGCAGCAACAAATTATAAGCGATGTCGTGTGGAATTATAACGCACTGAATGAATGGGGAAGTTTGCGTGTTGCGGCGGAAATTAAAGCAGGTCAAAATGCATCAACACAACGAAGCTAATACGACATAAACAAAGCCATACTTGACGGAGTTTGGCTACATCGAGGCTCACTGCAGTAAAAAAGACATATGGAGGATCAGACAGCAGGTAAAGCAGCGCACAGCTACAAACACTCACCCGGATTAGCATGACGGTCAGAAAGCTAAACAAATAACCCGCAAAATTATTTAAGTCTTCAAGCTGCAATGTCAGACGCTGGTTCTGCCCTTGCTGTTGAACCGCTGCTACAGGTAGTAATATTTCACAGACGGAGCGCCGCTTCTGCTCCACCTGAACTCTCAC